ACAGCGTTCTGCACGCAGGCGTTCTGTGGTTACACACATGTAGGTCCTGGGGCTAACCCCTAGTCAAAAACACTAAGCACCCAGCCAGCCGTGGTCTAAACTATAAACCACCAACACTAGGAACCTACTGTGTATAAGTGTACCTGTCACTTTTACACCAGCAATACTGTGGGAGCTGAGGCAAAAACCTTTTAGACCCGTCCTAAATTAAAATAATTCTGTCATGTGTCTGCCTGCTAACATCCACTCGCCTGACACATAATCTACAACCTAAACAGTGATTGTCAAACAAAATTGCCAAGGAGAGTGTGAGGGAGGTGAGACAAATAGTGTTTTTTGAGGCTAGGATGGAGACAGTGTTAAGTTGTGAAAGACAACTTTTGGCTGACTGGCAGCTGTTAACGACCAAACCCTTTGATTTAATATATATATATATATATATATATATATATATATATATATATATATATATATATATATATATATATATAATTTTTTGTTTGGTTGACTTTTTTTTTCTCCCCGATTTCGTGATATCCAATTGGTAGTTACAGTATTGTCCCATCGCTGCAACTCCCGTACGGACTCGGGAGAGGCGAAGGTTAAGAGCCGCGCGTCCTCCGAAACACGACCCTGCCAAGCCGCACTGCTTCTTGACCCCTTTGATTTAATTTGACTGTAAAAGTTGAAGTGATGTTATAGGAGCCAATGCCCTTCCACAATGTTTCTACTGATGACCATATAAGTCCTCCATTTAAAGCTATAATTCTTAGTTGCTACATCCATTTTTGGACTAATTATATATTCCAATTGTCATACCCCATCAGAACCCAAATTATAAGCTTGTTTTACTCCAATGTTTATAAACAACATAAATATAAACATACACTTTATAGCCTCAAAACATGGTTAAAACTATATTTTTGATAGCATGGATGTTCAGTCCTCGCATCCATAGCTCTGTGTATACATTTGAGAATGGTTACATTTCTATAGGCCTATCCCTCAGCCTTTTACCAAAACAGAGGTGGGGTGATGCTTTGTTATTGTTTTAATTAAGGATTCTAGCTTTAAGGATGGTTAAGGATAATTATTTGATTCCGTCACTCAGAACACTACAAGGTCTGTGGTAGGAACTTATGTCGATCATGTAGAAAGACAAGTATATTTGTAGCTTTCCAGTAAAAGTGGGTACAGTGTAATTGTCATCCACAGGAGGTCCCAGTGAGGCTAATTGGACACCTTTCTCATTTGCTTCTGCTTAATACCAAAGATGGGTAGGATGATGAAACCCATTGAAATGTAATTTTATATTAACAATGGTTTGATACCAGACGGCATTGATTTAGCTGATTTAACAAAGACCATGTGACCGATTACAGGTTAAATCTTCATTTATTTTGATGACGCAAGTATTAGTAATTTCTGGTAGCATGTGGCAGAGCAAAGATGGAGGCTGGATAATGATTAAGTAAAAAGGCTAATTTGGACCGGGCCTGGAAGGAGAGAGAAGGTGAGAGAGAAAAAGAGAGAGAGAGAAGTAGAGAAGGTTGGAGCCCAGGTGTCGAGGAGAGCAAGGGGTGAGGGATTTTGGGCTTTGTGAGAGGAAGGATGGGTGCGCAGAAGCAGAACGGTTGGGTTTTTCTGCGGGCTGAAAGGGCCTGGTTTGTTCCTGGAAGAGGAACAGAAGGCTGTATTGTGTGTGTCTGTAATCTGCTTACCTGGATCGGCAGCTCAGGGACGAATCTCAGGTCCAGGCTCCCAGTTGGCACCAAGGAGTCAATGTCACACTGAGCCAGTCTCGCCTTGCTTCCAAACAACCAGGAACGAGTGTGAGTGTGTGTGCATTTCTGTGTGTATGGGGGGGAGAGCGAGTGTAGGTGTTTGCCTACATGTGCCTGTGGATAGTCTGTGTGTCTATGAAGATGCATGCGTGTCCTCTTAGTATACAGTATATGAGTGCACTGTCTATATGTACAGCTGTCTCTGTGTATCTATGAGTGAACAGTGCAGCATATGTTTACCTCATGTAGCTAGAAAGTGGATGTTATTTCTTTTGTAAAGGATTGTTATGGCATATACTGTAATACACAATACAGGCTCAACCAGGGTTAGAATACAATCAGGTATCATAGTGCTCCAGCCATCTGGCAAAACTCTGGCACACTATTTGCTTCTCCATTCTTCATATTTAGATAATCACTGTCTCGTTGGATGATGAGAACAGCCTGTAAGTGCAGCCATTAAGCGTCTGTCCTCTCGTTATAATCCGTTCATTCTTTTCAAACAAAAGCTCACTGTACTTCAGCACACTCTAACCCTGTAGGCTGAGCCATGCAGGGAGTTAACCTGGCCACTGCCACCGCTTCCCTTCTCCCTGAGAGAGAGGCCCTCGTCTATGACGTCACACGGCCACATAAACAACTAGCAGTGGAGGATTATATATGGCCGTCGGAGTGGAGTGGAGCGGAGCACGTGGTCTGTCCGCTGGAGAGTGATTGCAGTCCTGGGGAGCATGGGAGGAAAGAAGAGGAAGGAAGGAGAGCAAAGAGACAGAGTGAGAGAGTTAGAGTGAGAGAGTTAGAGTGAGAGAGAAAGAAAGAGTGAGAGAGGTAGAGTGAGAGAGGTAGAGTGAGAGAGGTAGAGTGAGAGCGGTAGAGTGAGAGCGGTAGAGTGAGAGAGGTAGAGTGAGAGAGTGGCTCTGTGGGACGCCTCCTCCTGCCTGTTGGTTCCTCTGGCTGGGAGCAGCAGCCGGCGGCTTCAAAAGAGCGCCAGGCAGTCCAGGCCTCGGCTTCCAGCAATTACAGATCACTCCAGCGGATGCCTCCCGGCCCGGCCCTCAAATCCCTCCAAAATACACTCTGATTACTACTCCACGACACAGATTGTTTACCAAATGAATCCTGCACGGCTGAGATAGAACATCCTACTATTCTTTATATTTTATGTCTGAGTTTTGATGATGCTTCTCTTTGTTCCGTCAAGTTAAGAGAGGATTTAGGAGACAGAGGGACCATTTGAGTCTTAAAGATGGCATAACTTCAGACACTCACTTTGATATGTCAGCCAAGACAAGCAGTTGAAAAGGAAATGATCCCTTTCATGTTTTACTCAAACGCTCATATACAGTGCCTTCAGAAAGTATTCACACCCCTTGACTTTGTCCACATTTTGTTGTGTACCAGCCTAAATTTAAAATGGATTAAATTGAGATTCTGTGTCACAATACCCCATAATGTCAAAGTGGAATTATGTTTTTAGATTTTTTTACAAATTAATTACAAATGAAAAGCTGAAATGTATTTAACCCCTTTGTTATGGCAAGCCTAAATAAGTTCAGGAGTAAAAATGTGCTTAACAAGTCGTATAATGAGTTGCATGGACTCACTCTGTGTGCAATAATAGTGTTTAACATGACTACCTCATCTCTGTACCCCACACATACAATTATCTGACAGGTCCCACAGTTGAGCAGTGAATTTCAAACACAGATTCAACCACAATGACCAGGGAGGTTTTCCAATGCCTTGCAAAGAAGATTGGTAGATCGGTAAAAAATCCACACACAAAAACTGACATTGAACATCCCTTTGAGCATGGCGAAGTTATTAATTACACTTTGGATGGTGTATCAATACACCCAGACACTACAAAGATCCCGGCGTCCTTCCTAACTCAGTTGCCGGAGAGGAAGCAAACCGCTCAGGGATTTCACCATGAGGCCAATGGTGACTTTAAAACAGTTACAGAGTTTAATGGCTGTGATAGAGAGGATGGATCAACAATATTGTAATTATTCCACAATACTAACCTAAATGACAGAGTGAACAGAAGGAAGCCTGTACATAATTAAAAATATTCCAAAACATGCATCCTGTTTGCAATAAGGCACTAAAGTAAAACTGCAAAAAATGTGGCAAAGAAATTAACTTTATGTCCTGAATACAAAGTGTTATGCTTGGGGCAAATCCAACACAACACATCACTGAGTACCACTTAATATTTTCAAGCATGGTGGTGGCTGCGTCATATAATGGGTATGCTTGTCATCAACAAGGAATAGGACGTTTTTTTAGGATAAAAAGAAACGGAATAGAGATAAGCACAGGCAAAATCCTAAAGGAAAAATCCTAGACTTACCCAGAAAGACTCACAGCTGTAATTGCTGCCAAAGGTGATTCTAACATGTATTGACTCAGGGGTGTAAATACTTATGTAAATGAGATATTTCTGTATTTCAATTTCAATACATTTGCAAAAATTTATAGAAACATGTTTTCACTTTGTCATTATGAGGTATTGTGTGTAGATGGGTGGGGGGGAAATCTATTTAATCAATTTTGAATTCAGGCTGTAACACAACAAAATGGGGAATATGTCAAGGGGTATGAATACTTTCTGAAGGTACTACCCAGAGCACCAAATGTGCTGCACTTAGAAGCACCCGGCTTGTCGTTATTTGTTTGAACCCAAACTATCATATCTCAAGCACATTTTGTAGCTCCTTTATATTGGATACAGCTATTTACTTTTGGTAATTTACTCTGTGTAATGGCACATTTCCTACACAGCCCATTTTAAAACGACAACATTATAGTCCCACAGTCAATTGTGATGTTGACAATGTGTGGTGGTCCTCTGTGGCCAATGACAACCTACTATACGTGAGAGAACAGAGAAAACAGAACTGATCTGGCTGGAAGCCTTGGGGGCGATCACCTGATACAATCCCACAGCAAATGTCATTAGATTTCCCCATCGCATGGTGTAAATTCATTTAAATTTCCCCATCACATCGTTTAAAGAGTTCCAACACCATCAACATTAGCTAGGCAAATTCTCTGCAGTATTTTCTCCCCATGACTAACTTGATATTAGCGATTAGTGGGAATGTCATTTAAATGGCACACCAAATCATATGCATTACCCCCTCCTTCACCTGAGGGCTCGTCTCCCTGGCCTAATCATGATGACAAAGGAAATGATGTGTTTAGTCTATCTTAATCACAGCTGAAGCTCATCACCGCCCAGCCCCGTCCGGGGGAGTGGGCCTGCCTGTCGCGGAGCAGTGCTGTGGAGAGGCGATCTACCTCGCGCCGGGGTGCACCTCTCCACCTCCTCTGCCCGCCTGCCTGCCAGTGTTTACTGTTTACTGTGACTCAGTCCTGTGTCTGACTGTGACTCCCATCCAGACTGAGACTCATCCAGGCTACCTGAAATGTCTGCTCTATCCTGCTAGTGCTCTGTCTCTCTAGTTAGTTTGCTGCTCTTTTCTGTTGATCTCTGCAGATAGAGTTGTGTCATCTCTAACAGTCCAGTGTCCTTATTTGACTGTGGTTTTAGACTGAAGCTGACTAGATGGCTGACTAAGCATCTGCGGTGCTGGCCTTGCACGGACACTACTTGGTTAGGCTGCTGGATGGGGCCAGGCATGTCTGTGTAAAAATAGATTGAGGAAGAAGGCGGTGCCTGAGGCTCTTCGCCATCTTAATCTCTCACCAGGGATGAAGCGTGGTGCCATTAAAAACACCAGTTAGTCATACCGGCTGTCTGTCTGCATCGCAGCTCACCTCTGGGGAAGCATTGAGGACAACCCACATAAGAAAATACTATAGTATACTATGGTATAAATACTATAGTATTCACTGTAGTGTTTTTGCGGACTTTACATTTACATTTTAGTCATTTAGCAGACGCTCTTATCCAGAGCAATTTACAGTTAGTGAGTGCATACATATTTTTTATTTTTTTTAGTATTTAAAAAAAAATACTTTACTGTAGTATTCACTGTAGTATTTACTGTAGTATACTGTAGTATTTACAGTTAACTATAGTATACATACTAGGGCTGTCCCCGACCAACAAAAATCTTGGTCGACCGAGAGTCGTCTGTTCCTTCGACCAATCGATTGGTCGACATTTTCAAACGTGTATTTTTCCATATACAGTGAGGGAAAAAAGTATTTGATCCCCTGCTGATTTTGTATGTTTGCCCACTGACAAAGAAATGATCAGTCTATAATTTTAATGGTAGGTTTATTTCAACAGTGAGAGACAGAATAACAACAACAAAATCCAGAAAAACACATGTAAAACATTTTATAAATTGATTTGCATTTTAATGAGGGAAATAAGTGTTTGACCCCCTCTCAATCAGAAAGATTTCTGGCTCCCAGGTGTCTTTTATACAGGTAACGAGCTGAGATTAGGAGCACACTCTTAAGGGGAGTGCTCCTAATCTCAGTTTGTTACCTGTATAAAAGACACCTGTCCACAGAAGCAATCAATCAATCAGATTCCAAACTCTCCACCATGGCCAAGACCAAAGAGCTCTCCAAGGATGTCAGGGACAAGATTGTAGACCTACACAAGGCTGGAATGGGCTACAAGACCATCGCCAAGCAGCTTGGTGAGAAGGTGACAACAGTTGGTGCGATTATTCGCAAATGGAAGAAACACAAAATAACTGTCAATCTCCCTCGGCCTGGGGCTCCATGCAAGATCTCACCTCGTGGAGTTGCAATGATCATGAGAACGGTGAGGAATCAGCCCAGAACTACACGGGAGGATCTTGTCAATGATCTCAAGGCAGCTGGGACCATAGTCACCAAGAAAACAATTGGTAACACACTACGCTATGAAGGACTGAAATCCTGCAGCGCCCGCAAGGTCCCCCTGCTCAAGAAAGCACATATACAGGGCCGTCTGAAGTTTGCCAATGAACATCTGAATGATTCAGAGGAGAACTGGGTGAAAGTGTTGTGGTCAGATGAGACCAAAATCGAGCTCTTTGGCATCAACTCAACTCGCCGTGTTTGGAGGAGGAGCAATGCTGACTATGACCCCAAGAACACCATCCCCACCGTCGAACATGGAGGTGGAAACATTATGCTTTGGGATGTTTTTCTGCTAAGGGGACAGGATAACTTCACCGCATCAAAGGAACGATGGACGTTGCCATGTACAGTCAAATCTTGAGTGTGAACCTCCTTCCCTCGGCCAGGGCATTGAAAATGGGTCGTGGATAGGTATTCCAGCATGACAATGACCCAAAACACACGGACAAGGCAACAAAGGAGTGGCTCAAGAAAAAGCACATTAAGGTCCTGGAGTGGCCTAGCCAGTCTCCAGACCTTAATCCCATAGAAAATCTGTGGAGGGAGCTGAAGGTTCGAGTTGCCAAACGTCAGCCTCAAAACCTTAATGACTTGGAGAAGATCTGCAAAGAGGAGTGGAACAGAATCCCTCCTGAGATGTGTGCAAACCTGGTGGCCAACTACAAGAAACGTCTGACCTCTGTGATTGCCAACAAGGGTTTTGCCACCAAGTACTAAGTCATGTTTTGCAGAGGGGTCAAATACTTATTTCCCTCATTAAAATGCAAATCAATTTATATCATTTTTGACATGTGTTTTTTCTGGACTTTTTTGTTGTTATTCTGTCTCTCACTGTTCAAATAAACCTACCATTACAATTATAGACTGATCATGTCTCTGTCAGTGGGCAAACGTACAAAATCAGCAGGGGACCAAATACTTTTTTTCCTCACTGTATAGACACACCCTGTGTTTTATTAAAATCAACTATATGTCACGATCGTCGAACAGAGATGAGGACCAAGGCGCAGCGTTGCAGGCAAACATACTCTTTATTAGAGACACGATCAAAAACGACAAAACGAAAACGTGACAGTTCACGGTCTAACACTACAGACTAGAAACAAGATCCCACAAACTCTGTGGGGAAACAGGCTGCTAAAGTATGGTTCTCAATCAGAGACAACAAGCAACAGCTGAATCACGTTGCCTCTGATTGAGAACCACACTGGCCAACATAGAACAACAATACTAGAATGTGAAACCTAGAACAAAACACATAGACTTTACACACCCTGGCTCAACATATTAGAGTCCCCAGAGCCAGGGCGTGACACTATATTATGCACTGAGTTTGTCTGATTCTTTAAGCGCACTGCTTGATGAAATAATTAAGACACAACTCAGAGGGAGCGAGAGATCAAGATAACCAGAAGAAAAAACCCTGTTCCCAACCCGACCTTACCCTCCTTCCCAACCCAACACGGAAGAAAGCACTCAAAGAAGATTCAATTGAGCACATTGGAAAGCGCCACTGCAGCGGCTGTGCCCCGCACCCACAGCAACGCTTATGACAGAGGAGTGGGAAACTGACTCCAAGCACGAATAGCCTTTGTCTCTCAAATATGATATATTGCACAAAAAAATTATATAGCCTATGAAATAAAAAGCAGATGGTTTAAGGAAGTATTTGTTTTTATTTTCAATTATTAAGAACATAACAAATTGAACAAACAATAATATTGTGCTTACTGTAATTAAAATAAATGACGAACAGCAGCAGTAGGCCTAGTATTCAATCAACATAGTTGGACAGTATTACAGTAAAAATATTATTAACAAAGCTGAACATCGAGCAGTAAATAATATATTATGTTTAATAACGAACAAAATAAATGAATAAGAAAATAGGCTAAATAAAGAACAAGTTGTAGCCTATCACAACAGGAGGCTATTTACACCACCTTCAACAGCAGCTTATGCTGAACATAAAATGGTTTGTATAGGCCCAGGCTACCAAAAAACCATAAGCATAGGCTATTTCACAATTCCAAACACTTAGCAGCCTGCATAATAGGTTAATAATCTCTCTATCTGTCAACTGTATTGGACTGGCCTACTTACTCACATAGACCACTGAATAGCCATTGCCTACTTCCCCAATCTTTTCAAGTTACGGGACAGGAACACCAATTTGTCAACATTTTGGGGCAGAAGGCAGCTCCTGGTTTTATTGACTATAAATCCTGCCTTGGAAAAGATCCGCTCTGACGGAGTGGAAGTGGCCGGGATGGAGAGGAGGTATTTCGCTGCTCTGGCCAGCTTCGAATACCTGCCCTCGTTTCCCCACCAAGCTAGCGGTCCAGCGTTGACTTTCGTTCTATCTTGGAGATAATCCTTCATTTATTATTTGCTATCCCCTTGATCCTCTTCCTCTCCATCATCTCCACACATCTCGATCTCCTGCTCTTTCATCTCCCTCAGCGGGCTCTGGCTGTGCCGCGCTCAAACGGTCGGCCAGCTGGGACACGTTGATGTAGGCTTCATCTCGTTTTGCATCGTCAACGAACGAAAGCACCTTGAAGCGGGGGTCTTAGACTGCTGCTTGGACAAGTAGTCGGTCGTTGAGCTGATTTCTTTGTTCAGTTTCCCCTAGCAGCTTTGTTTTAAGACTGTTAGTGGTGGGGCTGTCGTCCTCCACTACGGCCAAGTGGCGCCGTTTCAGTTTGGCCGGAATGGATATGGTTGCAGATAAGGATGCGTTGGCCTCCTCGGACAGCAGCTCAGTCAGGGTGACCATCGGCTTCAGCACATTCAAAATATCTTCTGCCATGTTCCATTGCGCTGTGGTGAGATGAAGGTAGCGTTCAGAGAGCACTGCTGTTACGGGCCATTTCTGTTCTAGCAGACGCTCTAACATGGTCTGAGAATAGTTCCACCGCGTGGAAACGTCTTGGATCAGGAGGTGTTCAACACCCTTTTTGTTGTTTCTGTTTCTCCTTCGGTCCCTTTCTGGCTTTTGCTCCCTTCTTAAATTGAGCCACGAGATGTCTGGCTGCAGCCGCGGTGCGACAGATGGGGTCTTGTTTGAGAGCGGTGTTGATGCACAGCTGTAAGGTTTGTTACATCTGACTCCTTTTACATCTGCCCCTTCCTCTTCCTGCTCCAGTATATCTGCACACAAAACCATGTTTGCGGCGTTGTCATGTACCACAGCAACCTTTTTACATCCTGGGATTTCGTATGCATCGGCAACTTCTCCAAGTCTCTGCGCAATGTTGGCTGCGGTGTGATTCTCCTCCATTTATTTTGTCTCCAGCACAAGACACTGCAGTTTCCAGGCCTCTGTAATGAAATGTACAGTGACGGTCATGTAAGACTCCATTCTCAGTGAGGTCCACATGTCGGTTGTAAAACTGCGTTACTGCGCAACTGTTTTTGATAGACTCCAAATCCTTCTCTTTTGTGTAATCATATTTCGCAGTCAGAGCATGCAGAATAGTTTCTCTCTTGGGAACGGTGTAACCAGGCACCAAGATTTTCATCATCATCTTAAACCCCACGCCCTCTGTTAGGTTAACAGGCCTCATGTCCAGGGCAATGAAGTCCACGATACCATCAGTTATCTCTGTTTTTCTTTTTTTCTGAGATGGGGGGGCTTCAGGTCCAAGGGGGTTTGAGTTAAACCTGAGCTAGCAGTGGAGCCGCTCGTGCTGCACTGGGGATGTGCCTATAAATACACAATGTTTCAAATTCAGTACATTTACATTAATTCTATATGCTATGTGTTATACTGTTATTACATTGTAATATGCCTATTCAATTTGGAAATGTTCACCTATCAAGCATATAAAACATGTCAATGTTTTAGCATGCAACTACAAAAATGAAGTAGTCTAGGCTAACTTACTGTTTTCAAGTGGTATGTCATATTTGTTGTCAAGCTATGGTATGCAAACCACTATTTGCAGAGTTTGCATTCCACTTTTTTGGCGTCATCCTTTACTACAATGAAATGCTGCCATACTGCATTTTCTAGGCCTAAAAAGGGTATCAATTATACTGAACAAAAATATAAATGCAACATGCAACAATTCCAAAGATTTTACTGAGTTACAGTTCATATAAGGAAATCAGTCAACTGAAATCAATTCATTAGGCCTGCTGGGCAGGGGTGCAGCCATGGGTGCGCCTTGGAGGGCATAGGCCCACCCACTGGGGAGCCAGGCCCAGCCAATCAGAATTAGTTTCCCACAAAAGGGCTTGATTACAGACAGAAATACTCCTCACCCCCCCCCCTAGACGATCCCGCAGGTGATGGATGTGGAGGTCCTGGGCAGGCGTGGTTACACGTGGTCTGTGGTTGTGAGGCCGGTTGGACGTACTGCCAAATTCTCTATAAAGTGACGTTGGAGGCAGCTTATGGTAGAGAAATGAACATTCAATTCTCTGGCAAACAGCTCTGGTGGACATTCCTGCAGTCAGCATGCCAATTGCACGTTCCCTCAAAACTTGAGACATCTGTGGCATGGTGTTGTGTGACAAAACTGCACATTTTAAAGTGTCCTTTTATTGTTCCCAGCACAAGGTGCACCTGTGTAATGAGCATGCTGTTTAATCAGCTTCTTGATATGCCACACCTGTCAAGTGGATGGATTATCTTGGCAAAGGAGAAATACTCACTAACAGGGATGTGAACACATTTGTGCGCAAAATTTGAGCGAAATAAGCTTTTTGTTTTATTTCAGCTCATGAAACATGGGACCAACACTTTACATGTTGCTTTTATATTTTTGTGTAGCTACTGTATGTCAGCCTACCGGTACGTAGGTTTTAAGGCTTATTTGTGTGTGCCGACTGCAAAAACATCAGGCGGATATACAGTTAAATTAAAGGTGATGTTTGGCATTTATATGTTAATAGTAATAATCATCATAATTCTGAAAACACATTTGTTATAAAATAATATTATTTTATTTAGTGTTGCATCATTGTTCATACTTAATATAACCATATACAATTTCAGTAGCACATATATGTCTTAGAGTGATGAACTGTGCCATCCCCGCGGCCTCCGCAATGGATTAGTCCAATGAGACAAGCGCGAATCAGACAGGGGTGTATTCATCACGGAAACCGTTTACTGTTTATGAACCAAACGGAAGCAAACAGAGCAAAACCTATTGGAAATTTGACAAATTCAGGTAGGTCCCTTCCCATTTTGCTTCAGTTTAAGAAACGTTTTGCACTGTATCTGCGAGCTGTTGGCTAGAGTGCATGTGCCAATACCAGAGTGGGCACACTCGCTATATAACACAATTTTTATGTGCACTACTACGTCAACACGCACAGCCTTTTATCTGCAACAAGTCCATTTGATGGAAACACATTTCTGGTGTGAAAATGCGCATTTTGTTTTTTATGCTGATTTTAGAATATTTGCATGAAAATCTGTCACCAATTGGATGGAAACCTAGCTTGTGAAAAGGATATTTCTGTTTTTTTGTGTTGCATTTTCTATGTGTGTGTGTTTCCCTGTGCGGGATTGTGTCTTGAGCGAGTCAACATTACATTTTACTCTGTATCAACACTCCTCTGTTAAAAGCAGAAATGTATTTATTTAAAAGAAATAAGCAAACAGCCTCGCCCCGGCTGCCATTGGGAAAGCGTCTCCTCAGGAAATGAAAATACCAGTTCGGAGTTGTCGTCATATTGAGAGTTAGGTAACCTCTGACCTTTTAATACCCGAGAGCCCTTTTATTGGTGACCTGGCGGATCCTCTTAGAAAGTGAACCCACCGGGGAGTATCCACTGCTCACATCATCATTCTCAGAACACCTAATAGTGGATTTACAGTGGTTAAAGTCACTCCTTGGGAGATTGAGGCCAGTGGCCAGGAATGCTGAGTATACATCCACTCTGTATGGATGTGTCCACTACCCCCACATAAAGTGCCTTCAGAAAGTATTCATACCCCTTGACTTATTCCACATTTTGTTGTGTTACAGCCTGAATTAAAAATATATATTTTTCTCACCCATTTACACACAATACCGCATAATGACAAAGTGAAAACATGTATTTAGACATTTTTGCTAATATATTGAAAATGAAATACATAAATATCGAATTTCCATAAGTATTCACACCCTTGAGTTAATACTTTGTAGAAGCACCTTTGGCGATGATTACAGCTTTGAGTCGTCTTGGGTATGTCTGTATCAGCTTTGCACATCTAGATTTGGGGATATTCTCCCATTTCTTCATTGCAGATTTTCTCAAGCTCTGTTAAGTTAGATGGGGAGCGGCGGTGAACTACAATCTTCAAGTGTTTCCACAGATTTTCAATGGGATTCAATTCTGGGCTTTGGCTGGGCCACTCAAGGACTTTCACATTCTTGTTCTGAAGCCATTCCAGCATTGCTTTGGCTGTATGCTTGGGGTCATTGTCCTGTTGAAATGTAAATCTTCGCACCAGTCTAAGGTCGTTTGCACTCTGAAGCAGGTTCTCATCAAGGATTTGCCTGTATTTGGCTCCATTCATTGTTCCCTCTATCCTTACCAGTCTCTCAGTCCCTGCCACTGAAATGCATCCCAATAGCATTATGCTGCCATCACCATGCTTCACGGTAGGGATGGTGTTAGACGGGTGATGAGCTGTGCCTGGTTTTCTCCAGACAAAGCGCTTTGCATTCAGGCCAAAGAGTTCAATTTTCTTCTCATCAGACCACAGGTCTTTTGCCTTATGCTCTGAGTCTTTCACATGCTTTTCTGCAAACTCCAGGCGTGCTGTGACTTCTGCTCAGGAGTGGCTTCTGTCTGGCAACTCTCCCATAAAGTCCTGATTGGTGAAATGCTGTAGAGAATGTTGTCCTTCTGGCAAGTTCTCCCATCTCAGCCAAGGAACTCTGTAGTTCTGTCAGAGTGGTCATTAGGTTCTTGATCACCTCCCTGACCCAGGTCTTTACAGTGAGGAAAAAAAGTATTTGATCCCCTGCTGATTTTGTACGTTTGCCCACTGACAAAGAAATGATCAGTCTATAATTTTAATGGTAGGTTTATTTGAACAGTGAGAGACAGAATAACAACAAAAAAATCCAGAAAAACGCATGTCAAAAATGTTATAAATTGATTTGCATTTTAATGAGGGAAATAAGTATTTGAGCCCCCTCTCAATCAGAAAGATTTCTGGCTCCCAGGTGTCTTTTATACAGGTAACGAGCTGAGATTAGGAGCACACTCTTAAAGGGAGTGCTCCTAATCTCAGTTTGTTACCTGTATAAAAGACACCTGTCCACAGAAGCAATCAATCAATCAGATTCCAAACTCTCCACCATGGCCAAGACCAAAGAGCTCTCCAAGGATGTCAGGGACAAGATTGTAGACCTACACAAGGCTGGAATGGGCTACAAGACCATCGCCAAGCAGCTTGGTGAGAAGGTGACAACAGTTGGTGCGATTATTCGCAAATGGAAGAAACACAAAATAACTGTCAATCTCCCTCGGCCTGGGGCTCCATGCAAGATCTCTCCTCGTGGAGTTGCAATGATCATGAGAATGGTGAGGAATCAGCCCAGAACTACACGGGAGGATCTTGTCAATGATCTCAAGGCAGCTGGGACCATAGTCACCAAGAAAACAATTGATAACACACTACGCCGTGAAGGACTGAAATCCTGCAGCGCCCGCAAGGTCCCCCTGCTCAAGAAAGCACATATACACACCCGTCTGAAGTTTTCAATGATTCAGAAGAGAACTGGGTGAAAGTGTTGTGGTCAGATGAGACCAAAATCGAGCTCTTTGGCATCAACTCAACTCGCCGTGTTTGGAGGAGGAGGAATGCTGCCTATGACCCCAATAACACCATCCCCACCGTCAAGCATGGAGGTGGAAACATTATGCTTTGGGGGTGTTTTTCTGCTAAGGGGACAGGACAACTTCACCGCATCAAAGGGACGATGGACGGGGCCGTGTACCGTCAAATCTTGGGTGAGAACCTCCTTCCCTCAGCCAGGGCATTGAAAATGGGTCATGGATGGGTATTCCAGCATGACAATGACCCAAAACACACGGCCAAGGCAACAAAGGAGTGGCTCAAGAAGAAGCACATTAAAGTCCTGGAGTGGCCTAGCCAGTCTCCAGACCTTAATCCCATATAAAATCTGTGGAGGGAGCTGAAGGTTCGAGTTGCCAAACATCAGCCTCGAAACCTTAATGACTTGGAGAAGATCTGCAAAGAGGAGTGGGACAAAATCCCTCCTGAGATGTGTGCAAACCTGGTGGCCAAGTACAAGAAACGTCTGACCTCTGTGATTGCCAACAAGGGTTTTGCCACCAAGTACTAAATCATGTTTTGCAGAGGGGTCAAATACTTATTTCCCTCATTAAAATGCAAATCAATTTATAACATTTTTGACATGCGTTTTTCTGGATTTTGTTGTTGTTATTCTGTCTCTCACTGTTCAAATAAACCTACCATTAAAATTATAGACTGATCATGTCTTTGTCAGTGGGCAAACGTAGAAAATCAGCAGGGGATCAAATACTTTTTTCCCTCACTGTATTGCCCGGTTGTTCAGTGTGGTCGGAGAGCCAGCTCTAGGCAGAGTCTGGGTAGTTCCATATTTTTTCAATTTCCCAATGATGGAGACCACTGTGCTCTTGGAATCTTTCAACACTCTAGAAA